TTTATTTTAATCATCACCAAAGTATGTTTCTTGACACTCTGCTATGATGACAATATGAATTTGGTTTATACATAAGGTCCTAGATTACCCGATTTTACATGCTATCTTGCACCATTGATGCGAATGAGGAAAGATTTCCCTTTTTGGGAAGGAACTGCTGCCTGAACAATTTGGAAACCACCATTGAATTTTGAGGGCTTCGGAATGTAAAGTTTACTTCACCTGTCAGACAAGTTTCACAACATCAGGGTTTCATTTTGCAACAAGATTTCCTAGCAATAACTAAAAGTTTTAGCTTTCTGGGTGTAGGAACATTACCATTTTCATAGGAAGCTATGTTCCATTTGGGGAATTATTGTTCCCCTGATGCTATCACAGTTGTTATTGCCAATACATCTTTATTTTCTCATCATTTACCAGAAATTGAGTACTCATTGGAATTGAGGTAGAGATTTTGGTATTTGCTCATTCAGCCTAGCATATGGTCAATGTGTCAGATTATAACAAGCATTGAGAGTGGCAGCAACAAAGGTAATGCCCACTTGGATAAGTAATAACATTCCCATTTTAGCTTCTTTCCAGACCAGATTGTTTGCTCCTATTGCTGGCACGAGCCTCTGCAACTTCCAATTGTAACCAAAATTAGATATCATATAAATCTTCAAGCATATAACAATGTAACAATCATTTAATATATTTGAAACCAATCTTGAAATGATTCTGCAAGAAATTTTAATGAGAAGTCGGTCAAACCAGTATGATTTGTAGACATAAAAATTTAAATGAATTAACAGGTCCATTTTGTTCAAGCATAAGCCTCTGCAACTTAGAATTAACATCAAATTAAAATAGAAGTTATAAATCTGTGGTTCCTACAGAAGTGACCAAGTATTAATACCTGAGACCTTTCTTGAAAAAAAAAAAGGGAATGTTTTCCCAACAATCTGAAAGAAATATGTTTCATAGACGATGGTAATGCCAAACATCTGTTCATTACCATGAGGAGGTGTATTCTTTCATTGTGCTCTTTTCTCTTTCAATGGCTGAATCTCTGTGATGAAAATATATATAAGCGTAAAGCATTTGAACTACCTTGAAGCACACAACCAAGAGGAAGTTATCTAAGAGAACTAAAATATGTAAAGCATCTGCCCATTCAATGTTCTATAAACTTCTACCTTCAAGATTACCATTGTCTTACTGTCAACATTGTCTTAAAACTCATGCAACCTCCTAAAGTGCCTGCAAACAGCAACATCTCACTTTTCACCTTTCCAATCTCAATATGAAGGTCCTGATTAATGTCATTTTCATGCAAAAACATAAAACAAATAGATAGGAGGGACAAGAACTGCTCAAACTTCCAGATGGACAATAGAACATTAAAAGACTCTTGAAATTATTAAATACAAAAATGCTTAAACATTGTAATTCACACTTCTACATCAGCAAAAACTGAATTTTGGCCATTTTACCCTGATATGCAACTTGAAAAGTACTTTAGATTAAATCGACCAGTTGACAGAGTAAAAACCTCCTTTACTTTGAAAACATAATATGAGAAACAAGAAAGGATTC